CACTTTGAATGACAATTGCGCGGAGGTCATGCAATACTGTACCCAAATGAATTTTTTACCATTTTTTTGAGACAGATAAAGCTTTATTTTGGTGGTATTTATTCACCACTGGGATTTGTATTTTTTTTGCTATGTAAATGAAATGTCCAAAAATTTTGAAAAAAAGTGTTTTTTTTTTATAAAATTTTGCAAATAAATAATATTTCATCATAAATCTTAGCCAAAATTTATTCCGTTATCTTTTTAGTAAAAAAAAAAAAATCCAAATTAGTTTATAAGCATAACATTTTTTTTACATTTTTATTTTATTTTTTTATATTATTTTTTATTTATTTATTTTTTTTTTACATACTGTCACCCTAGCAGTACAGTGTCACCATGGTGACACTGTACTACTTGTGGGGGGTGATGAAGATTTTTTTTTTTTTTTTTACACTGATTGCTTTTACACCCATATAGGATGTAAAAGCAATCATTTCTCTTTCTCTCTGTGTGCATTCTTGCACTCATTGAGAAATACTGAGTGAGCTGTGATTGGTCACAGCTTGTCACATGGTACAAGGCTGTTGTGAATAGCCTTGTACCATGTGACCTCGGTGATCATTCACAGATTTCACACGTAGTAAGCAATGATGTCAGAAGTGACATCTTGCTTACTACTTTGCATGTGATCACTGATTGGCCAATCAGTGATCACATGATCGGGACCTCGTACAGAGGTCCCGTCCGACGATCGGTGTTTCACTGTGTCTGGAGGACACAGCGGGCAACAGATCGCGGTGCTGTGCGCTCCCAGGGAGCGCGCACAAGCAGGGTGCGGGGAGGCCGTTTATAGACGGCCACCTGACCCTGCAGTGCCACCGTCCGGCCATTTATATGCAACGGCCGGTCGGGAAGTGGTTAAGTACAGCTGAGGTCAGGGCTCTGTGCTGGAAATTTGTGTTCCCACACCCAAACTGGTCAAACCATGTCTTTATGGAGCTGCCTTTTCAGGAGAAGATCTGGCTCTCAAGGTTCTAGTTCATCCCAAAGGTGTTCAGTACGGCTGATGTCAGGGCTCTGTGCAGGAAATTTGTGTTCCCACACCCAAACTGGTCAAACCATGTCTTTATGGAGCTGCCTTTCCAGGAGAAGATCTGGCTCTCAAGGTTCTAGTTCATCCCAGAAGGGTTCAGTATGGCTGAGTTCAGGTTTCTGTGTGGGAATTTGTGTTCCCACACACCAAACTGATCAAACCATGTCTTTATGGAGCTGGCTTTGTACACAGGGGCACAGTCATGACGGAACAGAAAGAGGTCTTCACCAAACTGTTACCAGAAGGCTTAGAGAACACAATTATCTACAATGTCTTTGTTTGCTGTAGTATTAACAGGACCCTAACTGGAAATGCCTGAATTAAAGCATACTTTTGGTCATTTTATGTATCAGTATGGACTTTATATGAAAAAAAAATCCTCTTTTTCTATCTCGCTTGTTCTAGGTTAATAATCAAGATCTTGAAAAAAGAGCTAAAATGTCAAGTTCTGGACCCTACGTGAAAATTTCGACAGATTTCGAACTAATGTTGCACTATATCACAGAAAAATCAATGAAAATAACAATTCCCAGCACCTTTAACCAAAAGGTACGTGGACTTTGCGGCAACAGTAATGGCAACTCTGCAGATGATTTTGAGACACCAGCTGGCACTCAGGCGGCTAGTGAGGCTGACTTTGGCAGAAGTTGGGCCGTGGATGATGGACAGTGCAATGGTAAGGATGTCATCACAGACAGGACCCATAATCCTGGTCAAGGAAATCCAGCCGGCATTAGACTTTTTGCTTTTGTAAGATTTTCCATTGCAACGAGGGGAGACAGATATATATATAAATGATATTAATATATTTAATATATTCAGTACATTACACCTAAAAACCTCGATGACATTAGATTTTGACCAAACATAATAAAGATACAAATTGCTACTTCATGAAAAAAAGAGTTTTCAGGTCAACATACGGCAGGAAAAGTATAAAACACATAATGTTTATTCATGCAAGTTAAAAATCGCACGGTAATTCAATTTGACCACTGAAGCCCCGACAGGTTTTACACCCTTCATCACCAGGGCATGTTTTATTATTCAGCACTGCGCTACTTTAACTGACAATTGCTCAGTCATTACTTCAAGTAAAGTGGAGGCGGTGTCTCCTAAAAATTCCAAAGCGCAATTGTGCATAGAATACACCTACACCATATTGCCAAAAGTATTGGGCCGCCGGCCTTTCCACGTACATGACCTTTAATGGCCTCCCAGTCTTAGTCCGTAGGGTTCAATATTGAGTTGGCCCCGCCCTTTCCACGCACATGATCTTTAATGGCATCCCAGTCTTAGTCCGTAGGATTCAATATTGAGTTGGACCCGCCCTTTCCACGCACATGACCTTTAATGGCCTCCCAGTCTTAGTCCGTAGGGTTCAATATTGAGTTGGCCCCGCCCTTTCCACGCACATGACCTTTAATGGCCTCCCAGTCTTAGTCCGTAGGGTTCAATATTGAGTTGGCCCTGCCCTTTCCATGCACATGACCTTTAATGGCCTCCCAGTCTTAGTAAATAGGGTTCAATATTGAGTTGGCCCCGCCCTTTCCCCGCACATGACCTTTAATGGCCTCCCAGTCTTAGTCCGTAGGGTTCAATATTGAGTTGGCCCCGCCCTTTCCCCGCACATGACCTTTAATGGCCTCCCAGTCTTAGTAAATAGGGTTCAATATTGAGTTGGCCCCGCCCTTTCCCCGCACATGACCTTTAATGGCTCCCAGTCTTAGTCCGTAGGGTTCAATATTGAGTTGGCCCCGCCCTTTCCCCCGCACATGACCTTTAATGGCCTCCCAGTCTTAGTAAGTAGGGTTCAATATTGAGTTGGCCCCGCCCTTTCCCCCGCACATGACCTTTAATGGCCTCCCAGTCTTAGTCCGTAGGGTTCAATATTGAGTTGGCCCCGCCCTTTGCAGCTATAACAGCTTCAACTCTTCTGGGAAGGCCGTCCACAAGGTTTAGGAGGGTGTCTATGGGAAGGTTGGACCATTCTTCCAGAAGCACATTTGTCAGGTCAGGCACTGATGTCGGGGGAGGAGGCCTGGCTCACAGTCTCTCGCTCTAATTCATCCCAAAGGTGTTCTATGGGGTTGAGGTCAGGACTCTGTGCAGGCCAGTCAAGTTCCCCCACCCCAAACTGGCTCCTCAATGTCTTTATGGACCTTGCTTTGTGCACTGGTGCGCAGTCATGTTGGAACAGGAAGGGGCCATCCCCAAACTCTTCCCACAAAGTTGGGAGCATGAAATTGTCGAAAATGTCTTGGTATGCTAATGCTTTAAGAATTCCCTTCACTGGAACTAGGGGGCCAAGCCCACCCTCTGAAAAACAACCCCACACCATAATCCCCCCTCCACCAAACTTTACACTTGGCACAAAGCAGTCAGGCAAGTACCGTTCTCCTGGCAACCTCCAAACCCAGACACATCCATCGGATTACCAGTCAGAGAAGCGTGATTGGTCACTCCAGAGAACACGTCTCCCCTGCTCTAGAGTCCAGTGGCGGCGTGCTTTACACCACGGCATCCGACGCTTTGCATTGCACTTGGTGATGGAAGGCTTGGATGCAGCTGCTCGGCCATGGAAACCCATTCCATGAAGCTCTCTACGCTCTGTTGTTGGGCTCATCTGAAGGCCACACCAAGTTTGTAGGTCTTTAGCTATTGACTCTGCAGACAGTTGGAGACTTCTGCGCACTGTGCGCTTCAGCATGTGCTGACCCCGCCCTGTCATGTGACGTGGCCTACCACTTGGTGGCTGAGTGGCTGTTGTTCCCAGTTGCTTCCACTTTGTTATAATCCCACTAACAGCTGAGCGTGGAATATTTAGTAGCCAGGAAATGTCACGGATGGACTTATTGCCCAGGTGGCCACCTATCACGGGACCACGCTTGGAGTCACTGAGCTCCTGAGAGCGACCCATTCTTTCACCAATGTTTGTAGAAGCAGTCTGCATGCCTAGGTGCCTCCTTGCATCCTCTCCCCCTGCGATGCCTCAGCGGTTCGAGCGCCACCTGCAGTGGAGAGAAGAGACTGCACCTGCCTACAGGATTATGATGGCAAACCTCTTGAGATGTACAAGAAGCCAGACCTGATACAAGAGAAGGAGAAAGCCATCTGGGTGCTGAGAAGGAGATCTGGGGATTGTTGCACCAAAGACCAATTACGTAAGCGGTGGTCTGATTTGAAGCTGTGTGAGGGGCCCCAACTGAGGAAAATCAAAAAGTTCTCGAGAAAAAGAAATATTACTCAGTTTTGTGTTTGTCTTCTTTGGCTAGTCACTCACACGTTGGAGCTCACTAATATTGCCGTAGGCCAATCAGATGCCACATGACTGCAGAAGGAACGCTCTACACACCGGAATGATGGGAATGAAGCGAATGACTTTGTGCTGTTTACTGACGATGCGAGCCTTGGGCTTCCACTATGTATTCAGGAGCACATGATGCTACGCCAACAGCAGCCTACAAACACCGAGCCGGGGGTGAGCAATTTATTTTCCCAAGGGGCCACATGAGCATACGAGCTGTGGATGACCAAACCAAAAGTTTTTTTTTCTTGGGAGGGTGCATGTGATCAGCACAGGGCCAATCAGCACTGTCCAGACAGAGGTCAGGGGTTCTGCATCCTCTTAGAACAGAATGAAAACTCCTCCTATAAGCTTTAACCAGTGCTCTGCTGGACACTGATAGAGGACAAGACTGCTATATACTGCTGATGAGAAAAGGTATTTAGCTGTTTATATTTGCAAAAATAATTGCATTTCCATGTTTGCTGTGTACTGTGGGAGACCTGATATAGTGAATGCGGGTCCGGGGAGAGCGGATATAGTGAATGCGGGGTCCGGGGAGAGCGGATATAGTGAATGCGGGGTCCAGGGAGAGCGGATTTAGTGAATGCGGGGTCCGGGGAGAGCGGATATAGTGAATGCGGGGTCTGGGGAGATTAGATTTAGTGAATGCGGGGTCCGGGGAGAGCGGATATAGTGAATGCGGGGTCCGGGGAGACCGGATATAGTGAATGCGGGGTCCGGGGAGAGCGGATATAGTGAATGCGGGGTCCGGGGAGAGCGATATAGTGAATGCGGGGTCCGGGGAGAGCGGATATAGTGAATGCGGGGTTCCGGGGAGAGCGGATATATTGAATGCGGGGTCCGGGGAGAGCGGATATAGTGAATGCGGGGTCCGGGGAGAGCGGATATAGTGAATGCGGGGTCCGGGGAGAGCGGATATATAGTGAATGCGGGGTCCGGGGAGAGCGGATATAGTGAATGCGGGGTCCGGGGAGAGCGGATATAGTGAATGCGGATGTAGTGAATGCGGGGTCCGAGGGAGAGAGATATAGTGAATGCGGGGTCCGGGGTGAGTGGTTCTTTGGTGGTAGGTTATGGTAGTTACAAGAAACACACAGCTTTTTTTTTTTTTTTTCTTTTACTATTTTTGGCCAGTTTTCCTTTGATAATAAAAAAAAATCAGGAGATCTCCATTACCATTTACCACCAAATGAAAGTTCATTTTGTCCAGAAAAAAAACCCGCGGTATAATCCACCCGGATGCACGAAGTAGTTGCGATGATACGGACGGTTTTACTAACACAGCTCAACGTTGCAAAATTGTGCTTAGGCATTAAGATTTGTCTTACCCTCAGGCATGAAGGGGTTAAGGTGAAAAACCTTCTAGCTTTACAACCACTTTACACATTTGTCTTTTTTAATGGAGGGTTTAGGGTTGCCCCCCCCCCCTTGAATCTACCACTGCATGGGGGGAAAAAAAAAAACTCTGGGAAAAACCAACATGAAATAATATCAAATATCGTACAGATCCCTAAGTAGAAGTCTGCATATGAAATAAACTGGTTTGGCAGTCAATGTAGGGTGGGAGGAGCCCTGACAACTTGCAGAGTAGGTGGGGCGGTAGGTGGGGTGGGGCGGGGCACCAATGGAACACGCCTACTCTGTATATAATAAACGCAGCATACTGGAGGAATATAACAAGGCAGAATCAACCGAGAGAAAGGTAAGTCTTCATATAAATCTCATGACTTTTATTTATTTTTTTTTTTAATTCAACTGGAACTGTTTAATTTTCATATAACTTTTTTTTAAAATAGTTTATTTTTTGTCCTTTTTTAACCACTGGACCCCCAGAGGATTCCACCCCCCCCCCCCCCCCCGACCATCCCCCGAGCAGGCCATTTTTTACGATATGACGCTGCGCTACTTTAACTGACAATTGCGCGGTCATGCAACGCTGCACCCAAATTAAATCTACGTCCTTTTTTCCCCATGAATAGAGCTTTCTTTTGGTGGTATTTGATCATCTATGCGATTTTAATTTTTTGCGCTATAAAACAAAAAAAGACCGAGAATTTTGAGAAAAAAAAAACAATATTTTTTTTTGACTTTTTGCTATTAAACATGTCCAAAAAAAAATTTAAAAAATCAAATTTCATCATAAATAGCCAAAATGTATTCTGCAACATGTCTTTGCTAAAAAAAAATCCCAATACATGTAAATTAATCGGTTTAAAATTAATTGGAAAAAAAACAATATTTTTAACTTTTTGCTATTAAACATGTCCAGAAAAAAAAATCAAAAAATCAAATTTCGTTATAAATTTCAGCCAAAATGTCTCCCGCTCCATATCTTTGCTAAACAAAAATCCCGATACGTGTAAATTAATTGGTTTACGTGAAAATTATAGCGTTTACAAATGGCGGTATATATACTATATCAGTAGTCATAAAAAGCACTGACACTGTACTAATGGCACTGGGCAGGAAGGGGTTAACATGAAGGGAGATCAAAGGGTTAACTGCGTGCAAAGTATTTCACTTTGAGCATGCTGCTATGCAGAGCCATACAAGCAGTGTGCAGGAGCTGACAGTGGAGAGCTCTGTGTTGTTTAGACGCAGGTCTCTTCCCCGTCGGAGATACTCGACGATCACCGGGTGCGGGCAAGAAATCCCCGGCCAGGAGACCAGGTGATTGACAGCTGAGGGATGAACGTGGAACATGTTCCCATACAGGGGCGGACTGACCATTTGGCACTGCCCGAGGGCCCGAGGTCAGTAAGGGGCCCCATGAGATGCCCCTGGTACCTTTTTCATAGGCTTTTTTGAGTTTGGGCAAGGACACAGGGGCCCCATGATCCCCTATTGCCCGGGGGCCCCAATGAGTTGTCAGTCCGCCCCTGTTCCCATAGCTGCAGCCGCCCCCCCTGCTGCTTGCTTTTATTCAGCCCTTGGAGAAATAATTTATCCTCTGACACCAACAATGGGACATAATTCCCCCCACTGACGCCAACAAAGGGGTACAATTCATCCCAATGACACCAATGATGGGCCACAATTCCTCCCAGTGACACCAACCATGGGGCATTATTCTTTGCACCCAGTGACACCAGCGATGGGCACAATACCTCCCACTGACACCAACAATGGGGTCCAATGACACCAAAGAACGGGTACAATCAGGGGCGGACTGACCATTTGGAAACTCGGGCGCTGCCCGAGGGCCCTGGGTCAGTAGGGGGCCCCATGGGATGCCCTTGGTACTTTTTTCATAGGCTTTTTTTGAGTTTGGGCAAGGACACAGGGGCCCCATGACCCCCTTTTTGCCCGGGGGCCCCATGAGTTGTCAGTCCTCCCTGGGTACATTTCCTCCCAATGACAACAACGATGGGGCATAACTTCTCTCACTGACACCAAAGATGGGGCATTGTTTACACCCAACTGATGCAGGGACCTTCAAAGGTCATAGTCTTGCCCCCCCCAAAATCTGAAGGACAGTAAACTGACCCTTTTTTTTTTTTAGAAGGTTTGGAGACCCCTGATCTACGGTTACAGTGTAGCATATTTGTGCACCTAGAGGGCAATAAAACTCCCTAAAATGTAAAAAAACAGCTTTTCACGCACTTTTAACCTTTACTGATTTATTGCTAACCATTGCTTTATGTTCTTCTTTTTTTGACGCAGCATGAAGACCCCGGCCTTCCTGACTCTGTGCATGTTGCTCGCGCTCACATTTGGTACGTTTAATGCCCAAACGCAGTGCAATAGAAATGTCCGAGGTCATCGAAATCGTAATAATAATGAGAATGTATCTAAGATTGGATACCGCTCCATAAGACGCACTTTTTCTACGTCCCAAAAATGGGATGTTCCTCGGTCATACCTGTTCCTTGTTCCTACCTGTTCCTCTGTCCTACCTGTTCCTCTGTCCTACCTGTTCCTCAGTCTACCTGTTCCTCTGTCCTACCTGTTCCTCGGTCCTACCTGTTCCTTGGACCTACCTGTTCCTCTGTCCTACCTGTTCCTCTGTCCTACCTGTTCCTCTGTCCTACCTGTTCCTCAGTCCTGCCTGTTCCACGGTCCTACCTGTTCCTTGTTCCTACCTGCTCCTCGGTCCTACCTGTTCCTCAGTCCTACCTGCTCCTCAGTCCTACCTGCTCCTCGGTCCTACCTGTTCCTTGTTCCTACCTGTTCCTCGATCCTACCTGTTCCTCGATCCTACCGTTTCCCCGTTCCTACCTGTTCCTCAGTCCTACCTGTTCCTTGGTCCTACCTGTTCCTCGATCCTACCTGTTCCTTGATCCTACCTGTTCCCCGGTAATACCTGTTCCTCGTTCCTTACCTGTTCCTCGTTCCTACCTGTTCCTTGATCCTACCTGCCCTTTCCTCGTCCTACCTGTTCCTTGATCCTACCTGCTCCTCGGTCCTACCTGTTCCTCGGTCCAGCGGTGTATTCTGCTTTCACCGGCCATCTTCTTTCCTGACGCCGGCATCTTCAGTGTGGGCTGTGACAACTTTTGGCTTCTTTGTGTATGGCCACTGTAGTCTTCTGGGACCTGTCATGTGTCACACAAGCCTAAGGGGAGGACAACTCTGTAGAATTGGGAGCGGGTACTTGTCAAATCCGGGTACCCGCCCCCCCCCCCACTCCCCAAAGGTCTGCAGTCTCTGGTCCTTGTTCATCCCTGTACTATGGTCTGTCTCATCTCCTGTACTATGTCCTGCATCTCCTCTGGTCCGCAGTCTTGGTCCTGTACTGTGTCCAGTCAGTCTCTGGTCATCTACCTGTTCTATGTCCTACCTGTCTCTGGTCATCTCCTGTACTGTGTCCGCAGTCTCTGGTCATCTCCTGTACTGTGTCCGCAGTCTCTGATCATCTCCTGTACCTGTGTCCGCAGTCTCTGATCATCCCCTGTACTCGCAGTCTTGGTTATCCCTGTACTGTGTCTGCAGTCTCTGGTCATCTCCTGTACTGTGTCCGCAGTCTCTGATCATCTCCTGTACTGTGTCCGCAGTCCTGGTTCCTCCTGTCCTACTGTACTGTCCGCAGTCTCTGACCATCTCCTGTACTGTGTCCGCAGTCTCTGTTCATCTCCTGTACTGTGTCCGCAGTCTCTGGTCATCTCCTGTACTGTGTCCGCAGTCTCTGGTCATCTCCTGTACTATGTCCGCAGTCTCTGGTCATCTCCTGTATTGTGTCCGCAGTCTCTGGTCATCTCTACTACTATGTCCACAGTCTCTGGTCATCCCTGTACTATGTCCGCAGTCTTTGGTCATCTCCTGTACTGTGTCCGCAGTCTCTGGTCATCTCAAGTACTATGTCTGCAGTCTCTGGTCATCTCCTGTACTGTGTCCGCAGTCTCTGGTCATCCCCTGTACTGTGTCCGCAGTCTCTGGTCATCCCCTGTACTGTCCGCAGTCTCTGGTCATCTCCTGTACTGTGTCTGCCGCAGTCTCTGGTCATCTCCTGTACTGTGTCCGCAGTCTCTGGTCATCCCCTGTACTGTCCGCAGTCTCTGACCATCTCCTGTACTGTGTCTGCAGTCTCTGGTCATCTCCTGTACTATGTCTGCAGTCTCTGGTCATCTCCTGTACTGTGTCCGCAGTCTCTGGTCATCTCCTGTACTATGTCCGCAGTCTCTGGTCATCTCCTGTACTATGTCCGCAGTCTCTGGTCATCTCCTGTACTATGTCCGCAGTCTCTGGTCATCTCCTGTACTGTGTCCGCAGTCTCTGGTCATCCCTGTACTGTGTACGCAGTCTCTGGTCATCTCCTGTACTGTGTCCGCAGTCTCTGGTCATCTCCTGTACTGTGTCCGCAGTCTCTGGTCATCTCCTGTACTGTGTCCGCAGTCTCTGGTCATCTCCTGTACTGTGTCTGTCCGCAGTCTCTGGTCATCTCCTGTACTGTGTCCGCAGTCTCTGGTCATCTCCTGTACTGTGTCCGCAGTCTCTGGTCATCTCCTGTACTGTGTCCGCAGTCTCTGGTCATCTCCTGTACTGTGTCCGCAGTCTCTGGTCATCTCCTGTACTGTGTCCGCAGTCTCTGATCATCTCCTGTACTGTGTCCGCAGTCTCTGGTCATCTCCTGTACTGTGTCCGCAGTCTCTGATCATCTCCTGCACTGTGTCTGCAGTCTCTGGTCATCTCCTGTACTATGTCTGCAGTCCACTGGTTCAGAATATGTTTTTTCTTGTTTTCCTCCTCTAAAATCCAGGTGCGTCTTATGGAGTGATAAATACAATAGTTACTTTCCTATTACAAGCATTTTCAATGATACTTACTAGAGATGAGCGAAGTATTCAAAAATTCGATTCGGCTGATTCGGCGAATTCGAGGAATAAATTTGATTCGATGCGAATATATTCGCTGCGAATTTAACTTATAAAAAGGGTGTTTTCTAGGCTTCAGAGAGCCTTTATATTAGTGCAGAACACTGTACCTTTAATTTAAATGCCCTTGGAGTCTGCTGGGAAGAGAAATAATACTGTCAGTCAGTATGACATGCAGATGAGTGCCGTCGATCTTAGAATCACCGCACACTTCACTCATTTGGGCAGTCACGGGGCCAAAACCAGAGTGTGGAGCCACAGTGCGGCGGTGGAGGCAGCAGCAATGGGAGGCCATACAGCACCCTATGACAAAATGGAACCCACCAGCAGTGTGAGGAGACCTGAAAGTGGCACATGGCAGAGTGTGGCGATGGAGACAGCAGCAATGGGAGGCCGTACAGGGACCCATGAGACACTCTGGACCTGGCAGCAGCATGAGGAGGCGGTACGGGGGGCCCATGGCAGATTACGGGCCTGGCAGCAGCAATGGGAGGCCCGTAATCTGCCAGCACCCTATGACAAAATGGAACACACCAGCAGTGTGAGGAGACCTGAAAGTGGCACATGGCAGAGTCTGGCGATGAAGTCAGCAGCAATGGGAGGCCGTACAGGGACCCATGACACACTCTGGACCTGGCAGCAGCAAGAGGAGGCGGTATTAGGGGCCCATGGCAGAGTGGCGAAGCGTAAGCAGCTTAAATTGAAGGCCATACAGAGGCCTATGTTAAAAATAATAACATGTTTGGGGCATGATTCATGGCGGATTTAGTCAGTTGTGTCAGGAACTGGTGGTTTGAAATCCAGACTAATCCACGCCTGATTCATTTTCACAAACGTGAGTCTCTCCACACTTTGGGAGGACAGTCGTGTCCTCCGCGGAGTTACAATACCTCCAGCCTTTCAAGGGCAAATTCAGCTTAGTAGTTTCCTCACTGCGCAGGTGAAGAAAGCTACTCATCATCGACTGCAGACTGAGGCAGCCGCTGCTGTAGGTGGAGCTGCCAAAAATGGAGCTCTGCCACTGCACCTACCACCCCCCCCCACCCCTCCCCTGCTGCCATGGCAGCGGAAACGCGAGCGCACAGGGCCCACAGTGTCTGAGGATGGACGTTGGCGCAGAAAGGCAAGACCAACTGACTACATAGGTGGTGTTTTTATAGTAACTGTTATTTGGCCTCCAAACTCAGCAGGTGTGAAAAAGGCCTCCATTTTTGAACGGGTAGCGAGGTCCAACCAAGGTAGAACAGCCAAAAGTCAGCCCTCTTGACTGATGGTTATTATTCGGCTCGCTACGCAGCAAGCGAGCATGCTGATGGGCCATTTGTGTGCAAGGAATGCGAGGGACACTCCTAGCCATTGGATCTCCACCAGCCTACGTGCCACGGTGAGTCTGGGTCCTCTGTCTCCCCTCCTCCTCTCCTCTACCAGATGCTCCTGACTCTCCACTCTGAGTCCGCTGAGTGTGAGAAAAACCACCCATTTCCACTCAATAATTTCCTGAGCCCCCAATGTCCTCCTCTACCTCCTCCTCTTCTTCCCTGTCCTGCCCTCACAGGGGTCATGTGGCGTTGAGATCCTGTCGCTCCACGACTAACTGCACACCTGACCCAGCCATTGATTAACAAGCATTTGTTCCCAGGAAGTGCAACAGAGGAATGACGTGTTCATCCCTAGTCCTGGCCGAATCACGAATACGCGTGGCTCTGTCTTGAAGGCTGAGCATAGGTGCTATGGTGTCACGCATGAGCTGCCAAGTGGCTGTACATCTAAGTTCACAGGGTCGTACCTTTATCCGTATTTAAGTGTATCAGGAAATCTTGTGATTGGCCTTTCTTTGATCGTAAAGGCGGTCTAAACTATGTAGGGTTGAATTCCACCTTGTTGCAAGTCACAGCAGCAGAGTGTGGGGGTGGGAAAAAGCAGCAAAGGGGGGCCGTATAGGGACCCCTTTTTGGGGGAAGGGGCCCCCGGGGAAACCGGGAATTTTTAAAAAAAAAGGGGCCCCCAAAAAAAGGGGTTTTTAAAAATTTTTTTTCCCCCCCTTTGGGGGGTTTTTTTTGGGGGGGGGGGGGGGGGTTTTTTTCCCCCCCCCCCTTGTTTTTTTTTGGCCGGATAAAAAAACCCCCCCTTTAAAATTTTTTCCGGGGAAGGGGGCCCCCCCTTTCCCCCCTTTTCCCCCCCCCCCCTTTTTGGGGGGGGTTTTTTTTCCCCCCCCTTTTCCCCCCAAAACCCCCCCAAAAATTTTTGGGGGGAAAAAAAACCCCCAAAATTTTTAAAAACCCCCCGGGCCCCCCCCCCCCGGGCCGGGCCCCCGGGGTTTTGGGTTTTCCCGGGGAATAAAACCCCCGGGGTTTTTTTTTTAAAAAAAAGGGGGGAAAGGGGGTTTCTTTAAACCCTTCCCCAAAAAAACCCCCCCCCAAAAAACCCGGAAGGGGGGGGGGAAAATTTGGGGGGCCTGGAAGTTAAAAAAGGGGGAGTTTTTTTTTAAAAAAAAAAAAAACCCCCCTTTTGGGGGGTTTTAAAAAGGGGGGGGAAAACCCCCCGGTTAAACCCCTTTAGGGGAAAGGGCCCGGGGGCCCTGGGGGGGGGGGCCGGGGGGGAAAAAAGGGGGGCCCCCCCCCCAAAAAAAAACCCCAGGGGGGGGCCCCCCCAAAAAAAATTTGAAAGGGAAATTGGGGGGGGGGGGGGAAAGGGGGCCCCCCGGGGGTTGGGGTTTTGGGGGGGGGCCCCCCCCCGGGGGGGGGGGCCCGGGGGGGGGGGGGCCCCAGTTTTTTTTTTAAAAAAAAAAAAAACCCCAAAAGGGGGGGGGGGGAAAAGGGCCCCCGGGGGGGGGGGGCCCCCGGGGGGCCTTAAACCCAAGGGGGGGGGCCGGTTTTGGGGGCCCCGGGGGGGGGGGTTGGGGGAAAAAAATTTTCCCCCCAAAAAAAAAACCCCCCAAAAAGGGGGGGGGAAAAAGGGAAAAGGGGGGGGGGGGAAAAAAGGGGGGGGGCCCCCGGGGGCCCCCAAAAAAGGGGGGGAAAAGGGGGGGGGGGTTGGGGCCCCCGGGAAAAGGGGGGCCCCAAAGGGCCCCCCCCAAAAAAACCCCCAAAAAAGGGGGAAAACCGGGGGGAAATTTGGGGGGGGGGGGCCGGGGGGGGGCCAAAAAAGGGGGGCCAAAAGGGCCCGGGAAATTTTTGGGAAACCGGGGGGCCCCGGGGGGGGTTGGGGAAAAGGGGGCCCCGGGGGCCCCTTTGGGAAAAAAAAAACCCCCCCTTTTCCCAAACCCCAAAAAAGGGGGAAAAAAGGGGGGGGAAAAAACCCCCGGGGGGGGAAAAGGGGGAAAAAAGGGGGGGGGGGGGGGGGGCAGAAAGGGGGGGGGGTTCCCCCCCCCAAAAAAGGGGCCCACCAGAAAGGGAGGGGGGGCCCCCCAAAAAGGGGGGGGGGGGGGCCTGGGGGCCCGGGGGGGGGGCCCCCCGGAAGGGAGGGGGGGGGCCCTTCGGGGCCCGGGGGCCCAAAGGGGGCCCAAGGGGCCCCCCCGGGGGGGGAAACCCCGGTTTGGGGGGAAAAAGGGGGAAAAGGGGGGGCCCCAACCCCCCCAAAAAAAAAGGGGGAAAACCAAAAAGGGGGGCCAAAAAGGGAAAAGGGAGGGGGGGGTTGGGGGGGGAAATGGGGGGGCCGGGGGGGAAAGGGGCCCAACCCCGGGCCCCAAAAGGGGCCCAAAAATTTGGGGGGGCCAAAAGGGGGGGGTTTTGGGGGCCCCAAAAAAAAAGGGGGGGGGAAAAAAAGGGGGGGGGGGGGTTAAAACCCCCCAAAAAAGGGGGGCCCAAAGGGACCCAAAACCCAGAAAAGGGGCTAAACCCCAAAGGGGGAAAAGGGGGGCCCCCCCCCGGGGGAGGGGGGGAAACCCCAAAAAAAACCCCCCCAAAAAACCCCCGGGGGGGCCAAAAGGGGGGGGGGGGGGGGAAAAAAGGGGCGGCAAAAAAGGGGGGGGGCCCCCAAAACCCCGGAAAAAAGGGGCCCCCGGGGGGGGAAAAGGGGGGGGGGGGGGGTTTTTGGGGGGGGGGGGCCCGGGGGGAGGGGGGGGGGAAAAAATTTCCCGGGGGGGGGGGGGGGCCCCCCAAACCCTTTAAAAAAGAAAAACCTTTTGGGCCCCCCCAAAAAAAAGGGGTTTCCCGGGGGGGCCCGGGGAAAGGGGGGAAGGGGAAAACCGGAAGGGGGGAAGGGGCCCGGGGGTTTCCCCGGGAAGGGGGGGGGGGGAAAAACCCCCGGGGGCCAAAATTTTTTTCCCCCCCCCCCGGGGGAAAATAAAAAACCCCCCGTTTGGGAAAAAGGGAAAAAGGGAGGGGGGGGGGGCCCCAAAGGGGGCCGGGCCCAAAAAATTGGGGCCCCCCCCCGGGGGGGGGGGTTGGGGGGCCCGGAAAAAAATTTAAAAAAAAATTTTTTTAAAAAAAACCCCCCCTTGGGGGGGGGGGGGGGGGGTTTGGGGGGGGGAAAAAAATTTGGGGCCTTAAACCCCGGGGGGGGGAAGGGGGGCGGTTGGGGGGGGGGGGGGAAAAAAGGGGGCCCCCCAAAAAGGAACCCAAAAAAGGGGGGGCCCCCAAGGGGGGCCAAAAAGGGGGGGGGGGTTGGGGGGGGCCGGGGGGGGGGCCCC